ACATATTTAATTTGAATAAAATAGTGAATAAACTATGTATGGGAAGCTGCATTACATATTACGGGTCAAAAGTAAAATTGGTATTTTCTTTATAAAAAAAACTGCTATTTTTTTAATGACACTATATATGCATATGGTGACTACATATAGTGTGTAGAGTTCAAAACATATCATATCTACCTTAAATGAATTCCAAACATGTTTATTTTATACATACAAAGAGACTGTGTAACAATTATTAATATTTTTACAAATAAAATTTGAGCATAGTATATCTTTAAATATATATTTAGTATATAGTTCTTTCTCTTTATCTGTAATTAAACAAATTTACATATACTGCTTAATTGTTTTTATTATCTCTCTGTTGAGGACCTAAACCCCAATGTTCGAGTACACATCCGGGAGATAATAAAATTATGATGTCATTCTATATATTAAACTATGTCATTCTTCATATGGAACCTGCTGCGCACGCGCAGTACGTTAAGTTAATCTGACCCCTCTTCTACTCTTAAAAATGAAAATACTGCTCAAGAAAACAAAAACACTCATGTTAATAAAGGTTGTTTTGCATGGTATATAATTAAGTTCTTATATCCATATTTGGAGCCAGTGTTCTATAAAACATGATATAGATGGAGTGTTTAACATACAAAGTCGTGAGAGGCGAAACATTAGTGGGACGACTTACAAAACAGTAAAGGATAATAAAAGAATAATATTACTTTGGCAGATTCACGTGACACAAATTGATTATTAAACTGATAACAGCTATTTCCAAATTTGCTCCATCCGTCAGGACATTCTGAAAGTAAACAAATATCCACAAAATAACATAGAAAATAACAATAGGAGAGCATTATTAAGGTAAGTTAAGAAACACAATGAGCTACATAATTATTTGACAAAGAAGAAAACAAACAAACAAAAAAAAAACGGTGTTCAACTGCCAATAAACGCTAACTTTTTTTCCCCAATTATCTCTTTTGTTGAATAATTTCTTTAAATTAACAAAAGTAGGGTGCAAAATCGAACAGCGTTATACGAAAATAGGTACCGGAAGTTATCTCCGCTTGAAAAAATAATAGTAATGATATTACTTATTTTGTCTTGTTAAAATCGAAATGACATCGGTCATAGCTGTGTTTATCGGCTATTTAACACCGGTTTCGTTGTTTTGCTACGAAAAAATTAACCACTTAGGCCTACCGCCCTCGTGGTCAATTACTACTCATCAAAACTCATAAATCTTTTTTGAACAAATATATCAATAATTCATTACGTCCTTGCTAAATTGTATTACTTAAAATACGTTAACAGAGATCAGCTAAATTTCTTAACGCTTTATAAAAGACAGAAAAATTGTAAACAAATTGTAGACAACATAAATATTTAGAATAAAATCATGAAGATCAAAGTTAACGGAAATAGGTTAAATATTTAATGTCATTGTAATTTGGACCTTCGACCATGTGATTTATGCGTTCTTTGGGGATTTCTTTTTTTTTTTTTTTTTTTTTGGAATAATTAATATGTTACATATTCTTAAGTCGTTTTGGGGAAACGAGTGTTTTGTTAAAAATCACTGTGAATTTCAACTTTTAACATCATGGACCAGAATCATTATTTTTAACTGTAGCGTTATCCTATCACGAAGTTGTATTTTTCTATTTCAGATTTTAATTCTTTAACAATGCCCTAGCGATTGATTTTAGAATAGATAAATATAGAACTTTTTCAATAATAACATAAGACAATGAAACAAAAAATCAGATTATGTGTACTACACCTAAATGATAAAACGGTGACAGATCTTTTTTTAAATTACCAATACAGTTATATAAATAATTCATTAACATCCTGGCTTACATTGAAGTGGTGGTGGTGTTTGTAATATTTTACTCCGGATCACGGCAGTAAGCAACATTGAATTTACCAGAGCACAGTTCAACCACCGCATCGTTCATGGGCAGGCTGTCAAGCAGTTTACCAGTACAAGATGCTTTCACGTTCTTAAGGAACTGAAATTTCTGTACATACCAGGGCAGAGGTACAGTGCGAGTGACCGTAGAAAGGATTTCATGATCATTCACAAAGAAAGTGACCTGCGCCGTCCGGGAATAGAACCCGGGTCGCCCGTTTCACAAAAGTTTTAACAAAAGCTCTTAATTTTAAATAAAGATGGAAATTGATACAGATTGAAATTTACCTTTACTCGCTGAACAATTTGGTGGTATTTCCCAACTGCCTGTGTCAAGGCAGCTTATTGTCCCGTTTCCTTCATATCCTCTATCACAGGCAAGAGAAGCGGTTGAGCCAAACGTTGTTGCGATATATTGCAAATTTCCATTTGTCACATTCAATGGAGACCCACAGTCTGAATAATAGTTACATTCATTTGTTACATATAAATTTAATATCATAACGTTAAACATAAACGGAAAATGTTTATATTTAAATTCATTATAACGATTAACTAGAACAACTAGAATGAAAGATTCCTCAGAACGTTTTATTGACATCGGGTGGGGCATTCATAAAGGCATCGTCCAATTTCCAAAGAATAGCATCTAAATATGTTGTCTAAATAATGTTTCCGGAACATTTTATTATATTTCCGTACAATATTCATATACAAACGGCATAATTTTACCTTTTTGTAAACAAAAGTACCTTCAGATATAGCTTTATGCTTTATATATACAAGGCATATTGCATACAAAAGAGATCTCAAACGTTAAAAAAGAGGAATAATGTATACAATTAAATATACTTTTGACGGCACATGTTCTAGTTTCGCAGGTGCCAATATCAACGAACCATATTCCTGAGTTTTTTTTTCAACCACATAAAGCCATATTAGAAAAATCATTTTAACCAAATGAAGGAAACAAGGACAATAAACTGTTTCCTATTATAACCATGACCACATAAAACCAAACTTTAAACCCAGATGTACTGACATAGGACGACAAACGGTATATAATCACAATAAATCACATGATGATTGTGGTTCTTTCTTGAGCTACACATGTTAGCAGAATGTGCTATGGTCACCTTAAATACAATCACCATGGTTTTGATATTTGAATAAGAAACTGAGAGGTCAATTGATTAATATTTACCATAATTGTAAGGATTTGGGAGGGAACATATATATCTATCAGATCACTGAGACCTTAAATATTAAACGTCATGAACCAGATTCAGTGTTTTATCGGTAACGTTATCCTACCACGAGGTGGTATTTCCTGTTCCAGATTTTACTTCTTTTACGTTGCCCTAGCGGTACATTTTTGAATTGAATAATATTATGTTTCAATAATAACATAAAACAATTAATAAATGAAAACAAAACAAAAATGATACAAAAAAAATTAAATAAATAAATAAAAAGAAAATGTGTACAATATCTATAAGGTGAAACGGTGACAGATCTATTTTTAAACACACCTAAACATTAATGCGCATAATATATATTTATAATTCATTAACGTCCGAACTTACATTGTAGTTAAACGTATAGATAACAAATGTATTGTCAAAAGTTCTTAATAATGAACAAAGATGGCAATTGATACAAATATGAATTGACCTTTAATAGAACAACTTGGTGGTGTTTCCCAACTGCCTGTGTCAAGGCAGCTTATTGTCCTGTTTCCTTCATATCCTCTATCACAGGCAAGAGAAGCGGTTGATCCAAACGTTGTTGCGATATATTGCAAATTACCATTGGTCACATTCAATGGAAACCCACAATCTGAATAATGGTTACATTCATTTGTTACATATAAATACAATATCATAACGTTAAACATAAGCGGAAAATGTTTTATATTCATATTCATTATATTTATTAACTAAAATAACTAGAATGAAAGATTCCTCAGTATATTTTATTGACAGCGAATGGGGCATTCATCAATTCATCATCCACTTTACAATGAATAACATCTAAATATGTTGAAAACGGCATAGTTTTACCGTTTCTTTTAAACCAAAGTACCTTCAGATAAAGTATTATACTCTTTTTTCATATATACAAGTGACATGAGGAAATTTAAGTGTGACTGAGAGTCACAATGGATACAAAAGAGCTCTCAAACGTTTAAAAAGGACGAATGATATGCACATTCCAATATACTTTTGACGGCACATGGTCCAGCTTCCAAAATGCCAATATCAACAAAGCATATACCCGAGTTATTTTCAACCACATAAAGTCATATAAGAAACATCATTTTTAACAAAATGAAGGAAACAAGCACAATAAACTGTTTCCTATTATAACCATGACCACATAAACGCAGACGTAATGACATAGGTCGACAAACGGTTTATAATCACAAGAAATTACATGACGATTGTTTTCTCTTTGAAGAGCTACAAATGTTAAAAGAATATGCTTTGGTCAGCTAAAATTATCCACCATTTTATTGATATTTGATTGAGAAACTCAAGAGTTTAATTTTATTTATTTTGAACATAATTCTAAGGATTAGCCAGGGAACATTTATCATTATCAGATCACGGTGACCTTAAATCTTAAACGTCATGAACCAGATACAGTGTTTTATTGGTAACATTATCCTACCACGAAGTTGTATTTTCTTTTTCAAGATTTTAATTCTTTAACATTGTCCTAGCGGTGCATTTTTGAATACATAAATATAATTTTTTAATAATATCATATATAATTGATGTTTGAAAACAAAACAAAAGTGATACACAAAAAGGCAGATAATGTGTACAATCCCAATAAGGTGAAACGGTGACAGATCTATTTTGTAAACTCACCTAAACAGTAATGCATATAATATATTCATAAATTATTAACATCCGGGCTTACATTGTAGTTAAACGTATACATATCAATTGTATTGACTATAGTTCTTAATATTTGGTAAAGATGGAAAATGTTACAAATTAAAATTGACCTTTAATAGAACAACTAGGTAGTGTTTCCCAACTGCCTGTATCAAGGCAGCTTATTGTCCCGTTTCCATCATATCCTCTATCACAGACAAGAGAAGCGGTTGATCCAAACGTTGTTGCGATATTGCAAATTACCATTGGTCACATTCAATGGAGACCCACAGTCTGAATAATGGTTACATTCATTTGTTACATATAAATTAAAAATCATAACGTTAAACATAAGCGGAAAATGGTTTATATTCAAATTCATTATAACGATTAACTAGAACAACTAGAATGAAAGATTCCTCAGTATGTTTTATTGACATCGAATGGGGCATTCAAAAAAGCATCGTCCAATTTCCAAAGAATAGCATCTAAATATGTTGTCTAAATATCTTGTTTCCGTAACATTTTATTATATTTCCGTACGATATTCATATGCAAACGACATAATTTTACCGTTACGTAAACAAAAGTACCTTCAGATATAGCTTGATGCTCTTTTATTTGTATTTTATATATACAAGTCACAATGCATACAAAAGAGCTCTCAAGGGTTTAAAAAAGAGGAATAACGTACACATTTAAACATTTTTTGACGGCACATGTTCTAGTATCGCAGATGCCAATATCAACGAACCATATTCCTGAGTTATTTTCAACACCATAAAGCCATATTAGAAAAATCATTTTTACCAAATAAAGGAAACAATGACAATAACTGTTTCCTATTATAACAATGATAACATTAAACCAAAATTTAAACGCAGATGTACTGACATAGGATGACAAACGGTATATACATGTAATCACAAGAAATCACATGAGGATTGTTGTTCTTTGTTGAGCTACAAATGTTAGCAGAATGTGCTATGGTCACCTTAAATACATCCACGATGATTTTGATATTTGAATAAGAAACTGAGAGGTCAATTGATTAATATTTACCATAATTGTAAGGATTTGGGAGGGAACATATATCTCTATCAGATCACAGAGACCTTAAATATTAAACGTCATGAACCAGATTCAGTGTTTTATCGGTAACGATATCCTACCACGAGGTGGTATTTTCCTGATCCATATTTTATTTCTTTACCGTTGTCCTAGCGGTACATTTTTGAATTGAATAATATAATGTTTCAATAATAACATAAAACAATTGATAAATGAAAAAACAAAAAGAAACAAAAAAGTGAAACACACACAAAACAAAATTTTATAAATAAAAAGAAAATGTGCACAATATCTATCAGGTGAAACTGTGACAGATCTATTTTTACACACACCTAAACATTAATGCACATACTATATTTATAATTCATTAAAGGCTGAACTTACATTGTAGTTAAACGTATAGATACCAAATGTATTGACAAAAGTTCTTTATATTTAACAATTATGGAAATTTATAGAAATTAAAATTAACCTTTAATAGAACAACTTGGTGGTTTTTCCCAACTGCCTGTGTCAAGACAGCTTATTGTCCCGTTTCCATCATATCCTTTTTCACAGACAAGAGAAGCGATCGATCCAAACGTTGTTGCAATATATTGCAAATTACCATTGCTTACATTCAATGGAGACCCACAATCTGAAAAATGGTTACATTTATTAGTTACATTTCAATTAAATATCATATCGTTAAACATAAGCGAAATAATGGTTCATAAAGGATTAACTAGAATAACTACAATGAAAGATTCCTCAGTACATTTTATTGACAAAGAGTGAGGCATTCATAAATCATCGTCCAATTTACAAATAATAGCATCTAAATATGTTGAAAACGGCATAGTTTTACCGTTTCCTTTAAACCAAAGTACCTTCAGAGAAAGCATTATACTCTTTTTTCATATATACAAGTGACATGAGCACATTTAAGTGTGACTGTGAGTCACAATGGATACAAAAGAGCTCTCAAACGTTTAAAAAGGAAAATGATATGCACATTCCAATATACTTTTGACGGCACATGGTCCAGCTTCCAAAATGCCAATATCAACAAAGCATATACCCGAGTTATTCTCAACCACATAAAGTCATATAAGAATCATCATTTTTAACAAAATGAAGGAAACAAGCACAATAAACTGTTTCCTATTATAACCATGACCACATAAAATCAATATTTAAACGAAAACGTACTGACATAGGTCGACAACCGGTTTATAATCACCAGAAATTACATGACGATTGTTTTCTCTTTGAAGAGCTACAAATGTTAGCAAAATGTGCACTGGTCAGCTAAAATTATCCACCATTTTATTGATATTTGATTGAGAAACTCAAGAGTTTAATTTATTAATTTTGAACATAATTCTAAGGATTAGCTAGGGAACATTTATCATTATCAGATCACTGTGACCTAAGGTCATGAACCAGATACAGTGTTTTATTGGTAACATTATCCTACCACGAAGTTGTATTTTTTTTCAAGATTTTAATTCTTTAACATTGTCCTAGCGGTGCATTTGTGAAAAGATAAATATAATTTTTCAATAATAACATAGACAATTGATGTTTGAAAACAAAACGAAAGTGATACACAAAAAAGCAGATAATGTGTACAATACCAATAAGGTAAAACGGTGACAGATCTATTTTGTAAACTCACCTAAACAGTAATGCACATAATATATAAATTATTAACATCCGGGTTTACATTGTAGTTAAACGTATACATATCAATTGTATTGACAATAGTTCTTAATATTTGGCAAAGATGGAAATTGTTACAAATTAAAATTGACCTTTTATAGAACAACTAGGTAGTGTTTCCCAACTGCCTGTGTCAAGACAGCTTATTGTCCCGTTTCCATCATATCCTCTATCACAGACAAGAGAAACCGTTGATCCAAACGTTGTTGCGATATATTGCAAATTACCATTTGTCACATTCAATGGAGACCCACAATCTGAATAATTGTTACATTCATTTGTTTCATATAAATTAAAGATCATAACGTTAAACATAAGCGGAAAATGGTTTATATTCAAATTCATTATAACGATTATCTAGAACAATTAGAATGAAAGATTCCTCAGTATGTTTTATTGACATCGAATGGGGCATTCAAAAAAGCATCGTCCAATTTCCAAAGAATAGCATCTAAATATGTTGTCTAAATATTTTGTTTCCGGAACATTTTATTCTATTTCCGTACAATATTCATATGCAAACGGCATAATTTAACCGTTACGTAAACAAAAGTACCTTCAGATATAGCTTTATGCTCTTTCATTTGTATTTTATATATACAAGTCACAATGCATACAAAAGAGATCTCAAAGGTTTAAAAAAGAGGAATAACGTACACATTTAAATAATTTTTTTGACGGCACATGTTCTAGTTTCGCAGATGCCAATATCAACGAACCATATTCCTGAGTTATTTTCAACCACATAAAGCCATATTAGAAAAATCATTTTAACCAAATGAAAGAAACAAGGACAATAAACTGTTTCCTTTTATAACCATGACCACATAAAACCAAACTTTAAACCCAGATGTACTGACATAGGACGACAAACGGTATGTAATCACATGAAATCACATGAGGATTGTTGTTCTTTGTTGAGCTACAACTGTTAGCAGAATGTGCTATGGTCACCTTAAATACATCCACGATGATTTTGATATTTGAATAAGAAACTGAGAGGTCAATTGATTAATATTTACCATAATTGTAAGGATTTGGGAGGGAACATATATCTCTATCAGATCACAGAGACCTTAAATATTAAACGTCATGAACCAGATTCAGTGTTTTATCGGTAACGATATCCTACCACGAGGTGGTATTTTCCTGATCCATATTTTATTTCTTTACCGTTGTCCTAGCGGTACATTTTTGAATTGAATAATATAATGTTTCAATAATAACATAAAACAATTGATAAATGAAAAAACAAAAAGAAACAAAAAAGTGAAACACACACAAAACAAAATTTTATAAATAAAAAGAAAATGTGCACAATATCTATCAGGTGAAACTGTGACAGATCTATTTTTAAACACACCTAAACATTAATGCACATAATATATTTATAATTCATTAAAGGCTGAACTTACATTGTAGTTAAACGTATAGATAACAAATGTATTGTCAAAAGTTCTTTATAATGAACAAAGATGGCAATTGATACAAATATAAATTGACCTTTAATAGAACAACTTGGTGGTGTTTCCCAACTGCCTGTGTCAAGGCAGCTTATTGTCCTGTTTCCTTCATATCCTCTATCACAGGCAAGAGAAGCGGTTGATCCAAACGTTGTTGCGATATATTGCAAATTACCATTGGTCACATTCAATGGAGACCCACAATCTGAATAATTGTTACATTCATTTGTTTCATATTAATTTAATATCATAATGTTAAGCATAAGCGGAAAATGGTTTATATTCATATACATTATATTGATTAACTAAAATAACTAGAATGAAGATTCCTCAGTACATTTTATTGACAGCGAATGGGGCATTCATAAATTCATCATCCACTTTACAATGAAAAACATCTAAATATGTTGGAAACGGCATAGTTTTACCGTTTCTTTTAAACCAAAGTACCTTCAGATAAAGCATTATACTCTTTTTTCATATATACAAGTGACATGAGCACATTTAAGTGTGACTGTGAGTCACAATGGATACAAAAGAGCTCTAAAACGTTTAAAAAGGAAAATGATATGCACATTCCAATATACTTTTGACGGCACATGCTCCACCTACCAAAATGCCAATATCAACAAAGCATATACCCGAGTTATTTTCAACCACATAAAGTCATATAAGAATCATCATTTTTAACAAAATGAAGGAAACAAGCACAATAAACTGTTTCCTATGATAACCATGACCACATCAAATCAATATTTAAACGAAAACGTACTGACATAGGTCGACAACCGGTTTATAATCACCAGAAATTACATGACGATTGTTTTCTCTTTGAAGAGCTACAAATGTTAGTAAAATGTGCACTGGTCAGCTAAAATTATCTACCATTTTATTGATATTTGATTGAGAAACTCAAGAGTTTAATTTATTAATTTTGAACATAATTCTAAGGATTAGCTAGGGAACATTTATCATTATCAGATCACTGTGACCTAAGGTCATGAACCAGATACAGTGTTTTATTGGTAACATTATCCTACCACGAAGTTGTATTTTTTTTTTCAAGATTTTAATTCTTTAACATTGTCCTAGCGGTACATTTTTGAAAAGATAAATATAATTTTTCAATAATAACATAGACAATTGATGTTTGAAAACAAAACAAAAGTGATACACAAAAAGGCAGATAATGTGTACAATACCAATAAGGTAAAACGGTGACAGATCTATTTTGTAAACTCACCTAAACAGTAATGCACATAATATATAAATTATTAACATCCGGGTTTACATTGTAGTTAAACGTATACATATCAATTGTATTGACAATAGTTCTTAATATTTGGCAAAGATGGAAATTGTTACAAATTAAAATTGACCTTTTATAGAACAACTAGGTAGTGTTTCCCAACTGCCTGTGTCAAGACAGCTTATTGTCCCGTTTCCATCATATCCTCTATCACAGACAAGAGAAGCGGTTGCTTCAAACGTTGTTGCGATATATTGCAAATTACCATTTGTCACATTCAATGGAGACCCACAATCTGAATAATTGTTACATTCATTTGTTTCATATAAATTAAAAATCATAACGTTAATCATAAACGGAAAATGGTTTATATTCAAATTCATTATAACGATTAACTAGAACAATTAGAATGAAAGATTCCTCAGTATGTTTTATTGACATCGAATGGGGCATTCAAAAAAGCATCGTCCAATTTCCAAAGAATAGCATCTAAATATGTTGTCTAAATATTTTGTTTCCGGAACATTTTATTCTATTTCCGTACAATATTCATATGCAAACGGCATAATTTAACCGTTACGTAAACAAAAGTACCTTCAGATATAGCTTTATGCTCTTTCATTTGTATTTTATATATACAAGTCACAATGCATACAAAAGAGATCTCAAAGGTTTAAAAAAGAGGAATAACGTACACATTTAAATAATGTTTTTGACGGCACATGTTCTAGTTTAGCAGATGCCAATATCAACGAACCATATTCCTGAGTTATTTTCAACCACATAAAGCCATATTAGAAAAATCATTTTAACCAAATGAAAGAAACAAGGACAATAAACTGTTTCCTATTATAACCATGACCACATAAAACCAAACTTTAAACCCAGATGTACTGATATAGGACGACAAACGTTATGTAATCACAAGAAATCACATGAGGATTGTTGTTCTTTGTTGAGCTACAAATGTTAGCAGAGCAGAATGTGCTATGGTCACCTTAAATACAACCACGATGATTTTGATATTTGAATAAGAAACTGACAGGTCAATTGATTAATATTTACCATAATTGTAAGGATTTGGGAGGAAACATATATCTCTATCAGATCACTGAGACCTTAAATATTAAACGTCATGAACCAGATTCAGTGTTTTTATCGGTAACGTTATCCTACCACGAGGTGGTATTTTCCTGATCCAGATTTTACTTCTTTAACGTTGTCCTAGCGGTACATTTTTGAATTGAATAATATAATGTTTCAATAATAACAAAAACAATTAATAAATGAAAAAAAAGTCAAATACACACAAAACAAAAATATATAAATAAAAAGAAAATGTGCACAATACCTATAAGGTGAAACGGTGACAGATCTTTTTTTAAACACACCTAAATAGTAATGCACATAATATATTCATAATTCATTAACGTCCGAACTTACATTGTAGTTAAACGTATAGAAAACAAATGTATTGTCAAAAGTTCTTAATAATGAACAAAGATGGCAATTGATACAAATATGAATTGACCTTTAATAGAACAACTTGGTGGTGTTTCCCAACTGCCTGTGTCAAGGCAGCTTATTGTCCCGTTTCCTCCATATCCTCTATCACAGACAAGAGAAGCGGTTGATCCAAACGTTGATGCGATATATTGCAAATTTCCATTGGTCACATTCAATGGAGACCCACAATCTGAATAATGGTTACATTCATTTGTTACATATAAATTCAATATCATAACGTTAAGCGTAAGCGGAAAAATGATTTATATTCATATACATTATATTGATTAATTAAAATAACTAGAATGAAAGATTCCTCGACAGCGAATGGGGCATTCATAAATTCATCATCCAATTTACAATGAATAACATCCAAATATGTTGAAAACGGCATATTTCACCTTCAGATAAAACATTATACTCTTTTTTCATATATACAAGTGACATGAGCAAATTTAAGTGTGACTGAGAGTCACAATGAATACAAAAGAGCTCTCAATCGTTTAAAAAGGACGAATGATATGCACATCCAATATACTTTTGACGGCACATGGTCCAGCTTCCACAATGCCAATATCAACAAAGCATATACAAGAGTTATTTTCAACCACATAAAGTCATATAAGAAACATCATTTTTAACAAAATGAAGGAAACAAGCACAATAAACTGTTTCCTATTATAACCATGACCACATGAAACCAATATTTAAACGCAGACGTATTGACATAGGTCGACAAACGGTTTATAAGCACAAGAAATCAAATGACGATTGTTGTTCTTTGGAGAGCTACAATTGTTAGTAGAATGTGCACTGGTCAGCTAAAATTAAACCACCATTTTATTGATATTTGAGTGAGAAACTCAAGAATTAATTTATTTATTTTGAACATAATTCTAAGGATAAGCTAGGGAACATTTATATTTATCAGATCTGTGTGACCTTAAATCTTAAACGTCATGAACCAGATGCAGTGTTTTATTGGTTACATTATGCTACCACGAAGTTGTATTTTCTTTTTCCAGATTTTAATTCTTTAACATTGTCATAGCGGTACATTTTTGAATAGATAAATATAATTTTTCAATAATAACATAAGACAATTGATGATTGAAAACAAAACAAAAGTGATACACAAAAAGGCAGATAATGTGTACAATACCAATAAGGTGAAACGATGACAGGTCTATTTTGTAAACTCACCTAAATAGTAATGCACATATATTCATAAATTATTAACATCCGGGCTTACATTGTAGTTAAACGTATACATATCAATTGTATTGACAATAGTTCTTAATATTTTGCAAATATGGAAATTGTTACAAATTAAAATTGACCTTTAATAGAACAACTTGGTGGTGTTTCCCAACTGCCTGTGTCAAGGCAGCTTATTGTCCCGTGTCCATCATATCCTCTATCACAGACAAGAGAAGCGGTTGCTTCAAACGTTGTTGCGATAAATTGCAAATTACCATTGGTCACATTCAATGGAGACCCACAGTCTGAATAATGGCAACATTCATTACTTGCATTTAAATTCAATATCATAACGTTAAACATGAGTTACGCCCCTTCGTTCAAATCAGATAGCCTGGTGTTTCGATGCTCGAAAAATAAATTACATGTTTTAAAGGAGATCACTAGGTAAGTTGAATATGTACACATATTTTGAATAGTTCCACGAAAATCTTGAAACCAGAATTAAAAAACAGTTTAATGATGCTGTAAGGTTTCAACGACGGTGCATTATTAATTTTGAACAGAGATAATTATATCAAAGAATAAGAATATGTGTACAAGGATTCGTTACGTTTTAAAGATGAAGAAATCTATCTTAATTATAATGATCAAATAGGGAAAACAGAATTCCTTAAAAACGTTTAAAACAACAAATTTGCATTGTTGCAAAGTTGCAGGCTCCGTTTTATTGAGCCTGTTCTTGGACGGTACTGGTAAGTGAAAGTTCTTTCATAATATTTTGAATTAAATCTTGACGATAAAATATAAGAAGATATGGGTGTTATATTCAACATATCTGTATCGGTGACAATAGAGCTTGTGTCAAAAATTTACAGAATATGAAATTAATAACATGTTTGAGAAGTGCGTAATAAATCATTCTTGTAATATTGAGATGAGCTTTTCTTTTATTCAAGATGGCTGTGATCTTGGCATTAAACCTCATGAACCAAAATAATGTTTTGATTTTATGTCTTTTACGCTAAATTTTTTCAAAACCTCATACCGCCTTTTTATGTAGTTAGTCAAGATCATTTCAAACGAAGAAGACACACTTTAGCAACAAAATTTCGTAACATAGCTAACATGGTAGTACTTCTTTA